AATATTTTTTATTAAATATTTATTTTTTCAAATAATGATAAATTATAAAATTTATATTTTTTAATCTCCACAGGTATAAATTATGTTATTTTATATAAAAAAATAATTATATTATTTCACTAATATTTTTTAAAAATCTTATAAAAACCAAGAATAACCTTCTATTTTAAAACTTCTTGTATCGTGGAATTTCTTGGTTTTTTTATTTATTGTTTGTGTGGACGAAAACATCACTTTTTTTTACTCTTTTTTTCCTTTGATAAAAATCAATAAAATAAATTATTTTTTTCTTTACAACAAGGCTAAAAGCATTTTTGAATGAATGTGCAAGCACTTGTTTTAATTTTTCCCTTTTTTTATATCTTTTTCAACAAGAGTCCTAACACGTGTTGGCTATTATTAATGAAATTCACTCTCTTGGATCTCCCGTGACGACGGACCTGGAAATGTATATGAGCTTTGCACATGGATGTATGATTAATTCTTTTAATATTTTTGTGCTTTGAAAAATATTTTTTATTTTAAATAAATATTTTTATTTTATTTTGATACCTAGATATTAAAAATAATTTTTAAAAAATAAAAAATATTATTTTAATATTTTTAAAATTAAAAATACTTTAAAAAACAACTACAATTACATTTTTAAACATAAAGTGAAATAAGGTCCACATAGATGATATAAAAAAAACAAAAAACTTTGCAAGGAATAATCTTGTCTTAAAAGACCTAATAAACTTTTAATAACCTCAATTTGAACTCCAACGATAGAACATCTTTTGATTGGTCTACAAATAAAAAAAAAAAATCTATATCACAATACCCTTTTTCAGTGTAGTTAAGAGTCATCACAGCTTGCACCGAACTTTTCTCTTTAAAATAAACACATTGACTTCAAAATTAACTTTTATGGCTAGAATGTGGCTTGTTTGTGTAATTTTCTTACGGCTCCCTTGTTTTGATGACTCTCTCGCTTCTTTGCCAGCTCACAGGACGGAAACGTGAGTAAAATAAATTTTAGGACCACAATGTACGAACTCGAAACAAGAAAGAATCAAATATAAAAATTTTGAAAATAATTGATGGACCAAGATACATACATATACATATATATATATGTATATATATATTGCCAGTAATGCATGCTAGTTCAGTGAACAGTGGACCAATATGCACACAGGAATGCGAGGAAAATTAATTTCAAGACTGAAATATAAAAACTTGAAACTACAAAAAACAACTATAAGAATTTTGAAAAATTAAGGCACGAGAATTTTGTCTCTTCTGCCAAGTAAACATGTTTGTAAGTGTAAGTAAAGATGACGTTTTTTTGTTTAAAAATATATTAAAATAATGATTTTTTATTTTTAAAAATTATTTTTAACATTATTACATTAAAAATGAATTTTAAACAAACTAACATTTTTACCTGCAAAACAGCCCTAGATCACTCGGCTTGGACGGTGAGAGTGATTGCATGTGATCTAGCCGTGTCCTTTTCGTGCCGAGGTATTCAGAGCGGCAGGGCACAGTTTTTTAGTCACCATCTCACTACATTACAAGATGTCTTGCAAGCTGTCCCTGTAAAACGTTGGTCTATCTTGCTCTAGGCATAGGGCACATGCGGTCCGTTTTCGCTGACAATTTGGTCCCCCTCTTTTTTGAGAGTTTATATTTAACAAAACCTTCTCTACTTGTGGTGTTTATTGCAACGATTTGAGTAACAAGGCATGTGAGAACCGTGGTGGTGAGGTGTAGGTCAAATCGCCCTATATAAAATTTGATTCATTTTTTTTTTATCGTTAATATAAAAAAAGAAAGAGAGAAGTGAATTACTCCTTGAATTCTAGCAACGGATAATGCTCTCTGTCTTTCCTCTCCTGAATTGATATGTTTCTGTTCGCATGCCGACTATCTAAGGATAGCGAATAGTATCCCTGTTCGGCTTTGACGGCAAAGCGTGATCGTATGTTATTGTACTTTAAAAGAGTTTTTTCTTAATTTTTTTATATTTTTGGATTTTTTAATATATGGATATAAAAACTAAATTTTTTTAAAAAAAAATATTATTTCAATATACTTTTAAATAAAAACACTGCTCTCACAATACCAAATAAGTTATAAATGCATGTTTAATATTATGATGTATAATATTTTTTATTGATACCATAATTATAAAACAAAATACTTTGACAGGTGATTTAACATGCCATCTTTATGGGTATTTTAACAGTTATTCGTTGGAATCATATCTTATTAAATGAAAATAAAAACCTTCTAGATTGTGAATATAAAGTTTTTTAAAAAACAATGAATTAAAAAAATAAAATTTACTTTTTTAAGATTTTACTTCACAGCATTACATTCAGTCTTTAATTATACCAATCTTGAGACTTTTGTTTATATTAAAAATAAAATAAAAATATTAATTTAATACTTTTCAAGTAAAATGCTTTAAATCAGAATGGATCTCTAGTGAAAGAACAATATTTCTTTTGTAAGATAAGCAAACAAGCAATACATGTATATACATACACGGTCGAGCTAAAGGACAATACATGTAATGTAGTAATGTATTTGAAAAATATTTCCTTCAATTCAACCGGGATCGAAGAGGAAGCTTTCTCTCTCTCCGGTGTCTTATGAATATCCTTTTCACGTTAACTTAGTGCATTCATAGAAATTGAATAAATATTCTGGACGTTAGTTTCGAGATTCGAATTTAGAAAGTCAGTATAAGGAAAATATCTCCTTGACTATCATGTCGATCCACTGAGGTTATAAAGGTGGTGGCTGTAAGAAAATGTTCACACCTGGCTTCTTGATGTAGAGAAATGAGGAGTGTCTGGAAATGTGATCCAACCTGTTTTGAATTTGTTTTTGATTTTTTTTCATGGGAAAAATATTAAACTGATTTTTAGGTAATTTGTTGTAATTTCAGTGTAAAAAATAAAAATATTTATTTAATAATTTTTACTATATCATCAAATACATATTTAAAGATACCAGAAACACAACACTTTATTTTATTGAAACTATTAGAATTTAAATGTGATATAAAATATATAGTGATTTTATTTCAATGCCTTTAATGTCTCCATGTAAGGGGAAGAGAGCAAGCATGTTTAAGATCGTGGTAAATATTTTTTAAAATATTTTTAATTTTAATATATCAAAGCAATTTTAAAATATACAAGAAATTATTCTAAAAAAATAAAAATAAAATTAATTTTTTAAAAAAATATTTTAAAAATACAAGAACAAACAGACATTATATAAACATCATATCATGGGTTAAACACTTAAGAAATTATCAATAAGTTGTAATTAACTAATATTAGAGTTATTTCTATCATTAATAGATTTTTTGTGGTTAAATTGTGATTTTAAAGTTTTTTGGTATTTTTTAATTTAAAATTTTTATTTTATTTTTAATTTTGTATTGTTTTGATTTGCTGGTATAAAAATAAAAAATATTATTTTAATATATTATATAAAAAAAATATTAAAAATAACATCCACGCTAATTTTAAACATGCTTTTCGAGTTCAAACTTAACTTTTATAATAAAAAGCAGCAAAACAAGAAAAAAAAAAAAGAGATACATGTCCTTTTATTCCATTCAAGAGTCATCATTTTTACTACCTTCAAGATTCAAACACAAACCAAACAAGGCAATTATCACAGAATCATGAATCGGTGTCCAACTTATCTTTCTCTTCATTCATCGCCCCTTCTCAAATTATTGTCTAATCACAATTAATTCACGGATTATTATCCAAATTCATCCTTCTCGTATCTCCTTCAGTGATCTCGTTAAACCCTTTCCAAATTACTGTCCAATCACGATAATCACAGCCAAATAACACCATGTGTTTAACATAATATATATATTTAATTTTTTTAATTAAATATGTATTAAAATATTTGTATATTTACAACCTTATCATATTAAAACTATTTTAAAAACTATAAAAATATTAATTTAATAAATTTTTAAATAAAAAATATTTTAAAAACAAAACATAACAAAAAAAAAATACTCTTTTATTAAAATAAAATTTTTGATATTTTAAAAATTATTTTTGATATCAACATATTAAAATATCTAAAAATATAAAAAAATATTAACTAAAAAACCCGTACACTAATTTTTTTTTTCTATCTTTTTATCTAACAAGAATTGGTTTTCATATGAATTAATGAGATTAAATTACTCTGACGTCACATGAACACACATTTCATATGAGATTTATACATTCAGTGAAATAAGTTCTAAATTCTACTGAATATCAACCTCCAGATTAAAATTCTTAAAAAGCTAAACAAGAGTTCTTTAAGTACACGCTCACTCGTTGAATCTTTTTCATTTTCGTTAAAGACTGGGATCCACCAGCCTAACTTTTCTTCACTGAAATCAAGAGTATGCTCGAAGATAATTGCTTTCAAATTGCACTTATTTCTCATCCACAGCTTGAATTTCGTTCAGTTCTGTCGTATCCTTTACTCTTTTTTTTATAAAAAAAATAATACCTGAGATTAATTTCCCCTCTTTTCTCTTACATCAAGACAAAACACATGAAATGTTTAAAATACAACATGCAGTTGCAAACCCTGTTCATAGTCCTATTAATATATTATTATTTTATACGTCAACATTAAATATTAAATTTAAATCCAACATACAGTGAATACAGAGAAGAGGAGCAAGTTGACCTTTCAGTTTCACGGTCTCACTTAAAAACCGAGTTGGATACAAGTTGTATAATTTGCATAGCACAACAAGGGTAGAGGGCTCCATGAGTCAACTCATGATTTGGTGAAAAAATCTACTTTTCTTATTAAAATAATATTTTTTTAATAAAGTTGTTTGGTTTTTTTTTTTAATAATTTAAAGGTTGGGTTCACTGTCTCGTTACCTATGACCTGGGTTTTATCATGTCCTGGGCCGGGTCGACCTGGGTCTCTTCTTATAACTACAGCACAATGATGTCATCTCATACATTGAATGACAACTGTCGGAAAATAATAGAGAGCAGAACGATGCGTGTGGACAAATACTTGGTATAAAAGCGTTCAACGAACAGACTATAGAGCCTCTCGCGAAATTAACGGACTTTTGGAACCACCGGCCAAAGCAAAAAACCAAGCCAAACCGAACAACCACGCAAACAACATGTTACACCACCATCACCAGCAGCAGCTACAGAGACCGCGACGCCGCTGTGAAGGCACTGCTATGGGTGCTATCGTTCTCGATCTTCGTCCTGGTAACGGCATCGGCCCTTTCTCTCTCGGTAAGTAATCAACTCCCTAACTAAACGACAGCGTTTTTGAGAAATTATGAATTGATTTTTTTTTGATGGCTAGGGATGCCAATATGTGAAGCGTTTACTCAAATTGAACAACAACCCAACATATACGACGTCGTCCATGTGAAGCATTTCGACGAGGTCTTGATTGATTTTTAGAATTGTACACACACTCACACATATATATTCTTCTAGTTTGCGTTTATGATTTTTATTTTTTTATGTGTAGGAGCCATTAAAACTCGATATTGTTGTTAGCTTTCCTGATCACGGGTTTCACCTTCGATTCGATCCGTGGTCTCAAGTAATACATTTTTTCTCCTTCAATTTTGACTTTCCCCCCGTTAATTGCATTGTTTTTTAATGCGTTTTGTGTTTTAACTTTGATTGTGCTAGAGGTTACGACTGATTGAGATTTTTGACGTGAAACGACTTCAAATGCGCTACGCGACCTCTCTTATTGGGTATTCTCATGGCTTATTGATGATTTCTGTTTATATTTACGTTAGATTATGTTTTTATTGTTGCTCTGATATATAGGGGACCGTCAAATTTAGCTACTTTTGTTGCTATCTATGCACTCTTTGGACCGACATTTCCTGGCATTTGTGACAAAGATAGAGGCGTGTACACTCTGTTTTACCCCGTATGTACATGAGAATGCAATTACTGTAACATTTTTTTTCCCTGCAATGCATGTTTGTCTTGCGTGATCAGATTTGTTTTGCGTTTGTATTGCTCAGGGTTTGTCATTTGCTTTTCCGATTCCCCCCCAGTATACAGATTGCTGTCATGATAGAGAAGGTAATGCATTGCATTTCAGATTGGCGAATGTAACTGTTTTATCAAGCTTTTTAGCATCCTAACTAGTTTCTTTTATTTTCATTTTTTTGACAGCGGAACTGCCACTAGAGTTTCCAGATGGCACAACGCCAGTTACATGCCGAGTCTCTATATATGATGGTTCTGCAGACAAAAAAGTGGGTGTTGGATCTTTAATGCACAAGGCTTCTGCCCCCCCATTACTTCCTGGTAACCTGTATATGGAAGAGGTGCATGTCAAGGTTTGACTTCTTTCTTTGACCCCTCCATTTCTTTTATTAAGCTGTTCAATCAGTTAGTTGATTATGACTTCTGGGTATCATACGTGCTCGACTCTCAACATATTAGAATCAACCTTAGAGGACTATGCCATGCAGATTTGAGAATTAGCATCATTTTTTTTAATCTTTAAGAGGTTAAATTTTTTTGGTCTCTTGTATCTTTTCTAATTCAATGTTTATCTCTGCAGCTTGGGGAAGAATTATATTTCTCTATTGGAGGACAGCATATTCCTTTTGGTGCATCAACACAGGTAAACTTTGGGTTTTATGCTGTTTAGCTTGGGTTTGATACTCTGCACAAAATCATTTTGTTGCTGCCTTGTGCTAGTATATGCCCCAGGGGCTTTGCAGGAAAAAATTAGGACAGATACCATGCATGGCTTTCACAATATTTTCTCAGGGAGTGCCCTCTTATGCGGGATTATAATGCTGTAAATCACTTATCCTGTGTGTCTCTCACTTTATTTGCAGGATGTATGGACAGAATTAGGCCATCCATGTGGGATTCACCAAAAGCAGGTGGTGTAGAGTTACTATCATGGAATTGCAATTTTAAGGCTTTTTTATAAGCAATGCTAGTTTAATGTAGAGAAATAGGACTCGTATAACTTAATAGAGAAAATAGGAATTTGATTGAGTGACTGCTTCTGAATTGGACTCAATGATTGCAACTACTTTGGGATGGAGATGGGAAAATTCCACTCATGTAAGGCTGGATCATGGCAGTGTACACACACGGGATACCTTTCTCAATTGAAAGGACACCGTAACTGCGGGACCTTTATCCTTTTTTTTTCAAATCATTGTTATTTAGCTGTCATTCGCTGAAACACACTACTCTTGGTGCACATGCTAATTTTGGTAGCTGTACAGGTTGATCAAATGGTCATTCACTCTGCTTCTGACCCTCGCCCAAGGAAAACTGTTTGTGGAGATTACTTCTACAATTACTTTGCTCGTGGTCTGGATATCTTATTTGATGGAAAGGTATTTATCTCTTTCTCTGTTCAAAAGGATATCTACCCACGACTCTGTTAAACATTTTTGTGCTTGGAAGTGTGGAGATAATCTTTTTATTTTTTGCAGACTCATAGAATCAAGAAGTTTGTTTTGCACACAAACTATCCTGGTCATGCAGATTTTAATTCGTACATAAAGTGCAATTTTGTCATCCAAGGTTCTGACTGTAAGTTCTTTTCTGATTTTGAAAGTTTTTGTTGATGTTGTTAATGTAAAAATTAATGAACTCTTTCTCCTTGTTGCTCGTGTGTGGGGCTTTGATGAAGTAGATAACTCCAAACAGAGTATTACCCCAAGCACAAAATGGGACCAGGTGAAGGTAAGTTTTTAAAACCATTCTTCTTTTTTTCTTCTTCTCTAATTTACATTAGAAAATCTAATGGCACTCTAACTGTGTTCATAAATGAAACCAGCTTCATATAGATATGGTGGTATCTGTTCGTATCTGCATGTAGTTAGATTCATTACTTGTACATGCCCTTAGTGTAAATTTCAGTCTTAGCATCAGATATGATTTTTTTTATTTGACCTTCATGAGTAAATCATGGTTGTCACTAATGAGCAAGTCAATATTCTAGGAGATCCTTGGGGACTGTGGTCGTGCAGCTATTCAAACACAGGGTTCTACAAATAATCCTTTTGGATCCACTTTTGTATATGGTTATCAGAACATTGCCTTTGAGGTGAGCTTTTAGATAAATTCCTGATCAATTTTGTGCACTTGCCAAAGGTTTTTTATCCCCTTTTGAAATTGGATTTTGGTATTGGTGCAATTCTGACTATGCTGATGTTACCAGGTGATGAAGAATGATTATTTTGCAACTGTAACTCTCTTCCAGTCATGATGTTTATCTTCTCTGGTATGGTTTGCCTACAAATCCTTTTCTTTGGCAATATAATGTGTGCTTTTATGCTGGAAATTTGTCTGTTGTCATTTCGCTGTAAGATTAGCTTTTGCATGAGAGCCAACTGGGCTGACTCGTGCAAAATCCTGTCCTCAATCATTATTTGGACATTGTTTTTTGCAAGTTTTTTTGTTGAATTAGTCTTAATTACTCCATTGTCACTGCTTATTTATGAGTTCTTGCTGCATAGCAATGCTCAATGTAATTCTTGAAATCTCAGCTTCAATATTTTGTACAAAGGCTCTTTATTGCTTTTGATAACATCATCTTTGTTTTCCTTATTTCGGCTCTATTTTTGTTTGACCTAGGCTGGATGCTGTGGCGTTGCCTGGTGCAACTGGATACCGTACAGTCTACTGAACAGAAAGCTGCATATACTCTTTTTGGTGGAAGCATCATCCCGGGAATTTAAATTTGAAAATTGTACATATAATCTGTACATTATAGTAGATTAGTACTGCTACTGGGGGGGGGGGGGGGTAACTTGGGTTT